AGAGAGAGAGAGAGAGGGGGGGGGGAGACAAGATTGGCCTTAGTAACATATAAGGAGGGCTGGAGTATAGTTTAATAGTAGAATACTTGCCTAATATGAGCAAGGTCTTAGGTTCAAATCCTAATACAACAACAAATAAATATATAAACAGTAAGGGGTGCCTATAGTGCTAATTTTCCAGATAAAGAAATCTAATATTGACTTACAAGTTGATATCTGATTTTAATTATCTACATTTAATTGACAAAAAGTTTCAACAAAACCCATAAAAATGTTAGTATCCATTTACTAACATACACGCATATGCTAAAGACTAGTTCCTTGGACCAATGAGATGGCTCAATGGCTAGCCAGCAAGACTAACAATCCCCAGAATATACATGGTAAGAAGAGAACCAATTCTCACAATTTGTCCAATATCTACACCTGAGTTTAGGGTGTCCAATATACGAACTTGATATACTTTACACATACACACAATAAAACAGTGTTGTATTTTATAGCCTTAGACATATTTTTCAATGTTATACTAGTCACTGGGTAAAGATAACCATTTTGAAATGTGTGGACTGGTAAGAAAATAAAAATGCATAAAGAAAAATGATTTACTAATTATATTTTTACAAGATGATACTAAAGATATAAAAAACTGGAAACATAATTTTTTTAACACCCGAGAAGTTTTATAGATTTTAGGCTTTCACTTGGAATTCACCATGTTTTTACAATGATTTTGTTTTTACTAAGGAGTTTCCCCTTTTTTAGAGGTGGTCATGTTGGGGATGAAACCAAGGATGTCATGGTCTGCCATGGAGCACTACCTGCAGACCATACAGAGTGACTACTATCGTAGCTGTATCATCACAAGATTGTTTCTAAGGTCATTGTCATCCTAATTTTTAGTTACTAAAACTAAGAGCACAAAATATAGACAATTCTAATTTCAGATGAAAAAAGCCTTTGTAAAAAAGGCTAGCCGGGCATTAGTGGTGCACGCCTTTAATCCCAGCACTCAGGAGGCAGAGGCAGGCGGATCTCTGTGAGTTCGAGGCCAGCCTGGTCGCCAGGGCGAGTGCCAGAATAGGCTCCAAAGCTACACAGAGAAACCCTGTCTCGAAACCCCCC